CATACCAACTGCTTTATACCAAAGAGGAAATATAACACCGAGGATAAGAGCAGGACGGTTTGAATCGTGGTGCCACATCACTTACTTAGTGGAACGCTTAGCACAAATTACCTCATCACACTGTAGCTTAGTTTCCTCACCTGTAAAGCAGAATTATGATAATAGCAAACCTATTGCAAAAGACTGTTATGAATATGCAAGGTACATATTACAGATAAAATGCATAGACTCCTGCCTTTTATATAGAAAGCGTTTTATAAGTATTGGCCATTATTGAGTATTAAAGAAGTTTGGTGGCTTAAAGTTAATGCTAGATAACATACTCATTTTGTGTTTCAGTAGAAGTCAGAGCTGTAAGCCTACGTATTTAAACAATGTGTTTAAATCCTAACCTCTCTGACAGACTAGTAAAACAGATTTTGGGTTGTGTTTTTTTAATATTTTAGAAATCATATTTTAAAAAAATGATCTTGGTGTATATAAACATTTTCCCCATTTTCCAAATGGTAGTTCAGAAATTTTAGTCAGTTCTGTGTCATGTGAGAATGAGAGACTTAAAAAGTGAAAATATTTCAATTGAAAGATATCTAATACTTTTCAGAGGCAAAATATCTTTTCTCAGTATTTTATTTTAATCTTAAAAATACCTAATTTTGAATTTTAAATGTCTGAATAAAAATTTCTCCAGGTAAAATTAGTATAAAATGTGTTCCCAAATAAAGGAAACAGTAATATTCATGTCTTGGAACAATGTACCATACACTTGAGCAATGATAGAAGTTTTTCAAAAATATCGTATTTTGGGGCCGGCCCTGTGGCTCACTCGGGAGAGTGCGGCACTGGTAGCGCTGAGGCCATGGGTTCGGATCCTATATAGGGATGGCTGGTGTGCTCACTGGCTGAGCGTGGTGCAGACCACAACTTGCCATGGGTTGTGATCCCCTTACCGGTCAAATATATATATATATATATATATACATATATATATATAATTTATTTATTTATTTATATATCTTATATTGTATGTTCTCTAATTAATCATACTAAGTAAATTTCAAAATGAAATTGCAAAGTCTAATTATTAATTCTTCTAGTACAAGATAATGACAACGATCGAGTAAAAATAAAAATATATGACATTCGTTCTATGAAAAATTTAAAAATAATTGAAAGAATGAGTTACCCTTATTTTTCTTTTTCATCATTTGAATCTTGTTTGTCAGCCTTAACTGTGAATTCCCTTCCCTTTTACAGATTTTTTAAAAATAACTTGTATATTATCTAAACATTTATCCATTTTCTCTAATGGGCAGAAATGAAAACACTAAGCTACTAAACATTTTAAAGCATTTTTATTTTTTGGCATTTCGTAAACATACGTTCACAGCAATATGGCCCATACCTCACTGTTCCTAAGCTGCAGTTTATTTTCCACAGTAAATATCAATTATGTATGAAATACAATAGCCCTTATATATTTAGGTTAATATTTTAATCACAAGATGTTCTATATATAATCATTCACTCGATTTACTTAATACAGTAGTAGGAGGTCTAAGGGAAAAGAATATTTTTTCTTTTTTTTTTTCTTTTCTGTGTTACTCAACATCTATTTTACATTTCTTTTCTTTCTGAATTCTTTTGCTCAGGGTATCTAACAATTGGACTTTCATCAGTGAAACGAAAAAAAGGAAACTATTTACTTGAGACAATCAAGTCAATTTTTGAGCAATCCAGCTATGAAGAGCTGAAGGAAATTTTAGTGGTGGTCCACCTAGCAGACTTTAATTCAACCTGGCGTGATGTCATGGTCCAGGATATTACACAGAAATTTGCCCACCATATTATTGCAGGAAGATTAATGGTTATACATGCTCCAGAGGAATACTACCCGATCCTGGATGGCCTTAAAAGAAATTACAATGACCCAGAAGATAGAGTCAAATTTCGTTCCAAGCAAAATGTAGATTATGCTTTTCTGCTTAATTTTTGTGCCAATACTTCAGACTATTATGTAATGCTTGAAGATGATGTTCGGTGTTCAAAAAATTTCTTAACTGCCATCAAGAAAGTCATTGCATCCTTAGAAGGAACTTACTGGGTTACTCTTGAGTTCTCTAAGCTTGGATACATTGGTAAACTCTACCATTCTCATGATCTCCCACGTTTGGCACATTTTTTATTAATGTTTTATCAAGAAATGCCTTGCGACTGGCTATTGACTCATTTTCGGGGTCTCCTCGTTCAGAAAAATGTGATCCGTTTTAAACCATCTCTCTTTCAGCACATGGGTTACTATTCATCATATAAAGGGACTGAGAATAAACTGAAGGATGACGATTTTGAAGAGGAGTCATTTGACCTCCCTGATAACCCCCCTGCAAGTCTTTACACCAACATGAATGTGTTTGAAAATTATGAACCAAGAAAGGCTTACAGTAGTGTTGATGAGTACTTTTGGGGAAAACCACCTTCAACAGGAGATTTCTTTCTGATTGTATTTCACAATCCAGTTATAATAAAGAAAATTAAAGTAAATACTGGAACAGAAGATCGGCAAAATGACATTTTGCATCATGGAGCCCTAGATGTTGGAGAAAACATCCTGCCTACCAAACCATGGAGAAAATGTCTTACTTACTTAAGACTAGGAGAATTCAAAAATGGGAACTTTGAAATTTCAGATGTGAATCAGAAAATACCATTTGATATAGATTGTATGAGGATATATGTTACCAAAACACAAAAGGAATGGCTGATTATAAGGAGTATTAGCATTTGGACTTCTTAGCCAATTACATCAATGTGCTCAGTTGCTGAGGCAGGTCTTCCTGTTTCCCTCTTTGCTACCTTCCTCTTTTGCTACCTTTGTTTTTTAGAGGGAAAGCAATGAATGAGCTATCTTTTAAAAGAATAGTTAATCATCTTGGCATTTTTTGTTACACATTGTCAACATAATTTTACTCTAATACACACTTGTATTGTTAAGTTTATCAGCCCATAGTTAATGATACTTTTATTCATACTTTTTAATGTTCTCAGTTTCAAAATTTCAGCTGATTGTCAAAAGGGTAACACAAAAAAATTTAAAATGAGAAAATTTAGTTTGTTGGATGTTGATTCTTGAAAAATAACTGCCACTGTATACACTTCTTCAATAATTAATAATTTTGTTATATCTTCAGATAGCTTTTTAATAAGCATCTGTGTGAATATGAAATTAGATAGACTGATAAACTGGTTTATTTTTCTTATAAACATGGGTTTCCATTGACTTCTGTACATCTGCAATGAATACCTCCTCATAAAAGTGGTGTCTTTACAACAGAATTTTTGTGTAGGTGGGGCCATGGAAAAAGAAAAAAAGACTGAAAAAAATATCTCTCCCCTGATATATGAAATGGGATATTGTTCATTGTTTGAAAACATTTGATTGAGAAACTATTGTTAATAAATTTTCTGTGGGAAGCAGTCTTTTTCTAGTTTCCCTTTTGCAAAACAAGAGAATAGTTAAGCTCAATGTTTTGGGGTTACATTGTATACCTGTATTTAATAGAAGGCATTAGAGAAGGCCTATAGTTAGTTCATTCTTCCAGAAATTTTCAGTATAAGCAGAAAATTTTTGAAATTGATTTTATATGTTTGTATTAAAATACATGCAATTGAAATTATTGTGATTTATCATACACTTTTTTGGGGAGTTTAAATGGATATATTACTAAGGAGAAAGGTAAGAGCCATAGAAATTAGTTGACTTTTCTACGCCCAAAGAGCTATTTCCTAGCAAAGTCAGTATGAGAGGTCTGATATTGTCATAACTTTCCCTTGTATGGAGGTTTTTCTTCACAAAACTTATGCTTTCTCTTCTGTGTTTGCCACGTGAATCACAGTAAATAAGTTATGCTATCTTGAAATAGGTGGTATAATTCCTCCAAAAATCATATTATCATGCTGTGGAATAATCTTAGTATCCTAAATGATGCTTTTATAGTATATGCACTCAAATTGTAAGCAAACTTTACTAAACTTTTACTATTAGGAATTAGACAGTTATGTCTCTACCATGTGTCCATTAAAGCAATTCAGGACACCTTAATGTATCCTAAAAACATTGGTTTTTATGAATGTCCTGAGCACTACTCTTCCGTTTTTATTTTTTGATTAACAACAAAGATGAAGGGGGTTATTATGAAGAGAAATGGAAGGTGATTCATATATATATATATATATATACATATGAGAAGTAGACTTGTGATAAGAAAAAAGGAGGAAATCCAGCTGTTCTTTGTTTTCATCTTGAAACACAATCCTTAGCATACTATAGTCCAAAAAAGATTAGGATCTTTTTTTTATTCTATCCAAGTCAATTGGATTAGTAACTCAGATTAAAAAAACAGAAAAAGTTTGTGTTTTTTTTTAATTTATAAAATAGCTAATGTGCATTTTCTACGTGCCCAGTTACTTACTAGGTGTTAGTTAGAAAAAACATGAACCTTTTATAAGATGTACTACAAAGTATTTATATTTAGCTTCTTAAAATCATAAGAAAATATGAACACTGCCACTAAACTATTATATTGCCCTGATTTGGAGGATACTTGCCAGACACTTAGAAAATTCTGTTTTCTTGATTTTTCTCATCCACTTTTATTAACTGGCTAGTTGTATATCTCAGAAATTACAACTGACATTTTCAGCACTGTTAAAAGTACAAAACTGTACTCCAAACACATAATATCAAGACCTAGGCAGATTCCATGAATAGAGTTGTGATATTTTATAAATTCGTCTGGGAGTGTGTTTCCAAAAACTAGCTACTGGCATCTATCAACTCCTTGAAAATGCTTTAAGAAAGATTGCTGAGTGTAGCTGTGAAGTTGGTTGTTTACTAGAGAATTCTATATGTAAATATGACCCAAAGAGGTCACATTTCATCTCAAGGTCCTTTAATTACTAAAACTGGGTTTGTATAGGTCGGTCAATCACCTAAGTGTGTCTCTATGTTTTCTTTACAGGTTGACACTGGGTCAACTTCCTAAAGAAAACCTGGACAAAGAAAGCTTCGCCATTAGGGACCAGGAGGGGCAAAGAACCATTCTTTTCCAAAGAGAAAGTCTGGCCGGACATTCTTTACATGGCTCAATGTTGAAATTCCTATATTTAAAACTTAGAGTGAGGTTTTATTTCTTATCTCAGAAGTAAAAAGCCAAAAACACAGTTATTAGGGTTAACTATACTCAATCTCTTATTAAGCATTATTTCATCTCTCTCTCTGTGTATATATATGTATACACACACACATTATTTTCTCTGTTAAAAAATATTGAAAAGGAACAGAATGAGATATGAATAACTGAGTCATTTAACTGACATGAAAATAAGATACTGACAGGTTTTTAAGCACAATTATGGTCTGTACCTTAAATAATGTCTGAGATTTGTAAAATTTAAGCAGACCAAAGAGCTTACTTATACTTAAAATTCTTTTTAAGAAAGACTTTTTAGCATTTATAGACATCAAGGAAAAGCATCTTGCAAAAGCACAATAAAATTTGGAAAGTATACATTTCTGGAGAATACACATTTTAGCAGCAGTAACAAGTGTGCATATAAAAAGCATACATGAAAAAGTATTGATGCAAGCACTTTTGCATGCTTATGAAAACTCTAACCTTGTGCAATTTATAAATTATATATTTTCCAGATTTAAAAATATAACTTGGAAATTAGATCTATTTTTCTTATATAGCTACACTTATGAGACTTAAACATTTCACTTCTTACTGGATCAGTATTCTTTGAGAATTTTTATAGTGCTATCATAGAAAAACTGTGCCATATAATAATGGTGTATGTGAAACAAAATTTTAAAAATCATAATACATGATGTGGTAGGGAAAGTGCCTACTCCTCTAGATGCCCATATGACAAGCTTTATTCAATATCTGCCAATTTGTCAACAGCTGCTTCAGAGTATGACACTCAGGATTAACACTGAAAACACTACACTCAGTGCCCTCTCACAGTTAAAGAAAACAGTGTAATTCTCCTCCTTTGCCTTGCCAATACATCATTAATACAGTAAAAGATTAAATTTATTTTTATCACCATACAATTGAGTAACAGAGCTCCCACTCAACTTAAACTTTATAATATGGTAGTTATTACATGATTTACTGATAAAAACAATTTGCCATTCTCTACATCTTCAATGGATTTTTTTGAAGTTTTCTTTTAAGACAATATTAATTTTCAAAAAATATCATACTGTAGGCCAGCCCGTGGCTCACTCGGTAGAGTGCGGTGCTGATAACACCAAGGCCACGGGTTTGGATCCTATATAGGGATGGCCGGTTAGCTCACTGGCTGAGCGTGGTGCTGACAACACCAAGTCAAGGGCTGAGATCCCCTTATCGGTCATCCTTTAAAAAAAAAAAAAAAAAAAATCATACTGTTTATTTGACCCATGATCCCACACTTTTTAGATTTTGATTCTGTCATTCAGTATTTTAACATAGCTTCTCAACTTTGTGTTTCCACAACTTCGATAGGTAAGCCTTTGTCTTCATAGGAGATACAGCAGAAGGTTCTTGCAGACCTGAATCTGAAACCTAGTTCTGCAATTTGCAGCCTCCAGAGATGAGGAATGTTATTTAAACTCTTTGAAACTCAGTTCCTACATCTATGAAATAGGAATAATTTCATCCTCAAGGATTTTAAGAAGCAGCAATTTTACCTCGCAGTTTCTTGTAGAGGTGGAAGTAAAATAACATAAACAAGGCACATAATAAATGTCTTCTTTTCATCCAGCCTACCTTTTTAATATTTTTTTCCAAAAGAATGTCATGTAAAATAACTTCCTAAAATCCTGATATATTATATTCCTGTCATTCTAATCTGATACTCTAGAAACCTTATCAAAAATACAGCATTTTTCCCTAATGTTCCCGTCATAAATATTAATGGTCATTTCTTTTTTAAGAAATCTAAGTCCATTGACTTTGAAAAATGAAGAAAAATAAAGGCTTTTTCTAAATTTCTAACATTTTTCTCAGAATCTACATTAAGCTCATAGAGATACAGTTTTCAGAACCTTTTTTTTTTTTTTTTTTTTTTTTTTTTTTTTTTTTTT